TCTCTCCACTCATATCGCTCCCTCTCTGTCTGTCTGTCTGTCTGTCTGTCTGTCTCTCTCTCTCTCTCTCCCCCCCCCTCCCCCTGCTTCTGCAACCCCTCCTCCCGCTTCTGCACCTGCATTGCGCAATGCACCCCAAAAAATCTGAGACATGTCGGAATCTAGCAAAAAAATGAAGAATGTTGCCTTCTCTCTCTCATCTCAGCTTGAATAGGTCCCTCCTCCCCCCCTCTGCCCTCCGTTTGGTACCTTTGATCTTCATGTTTCAAGTATAGCAGTAAGGTCATCACTGTCCTTGTCTGCTGACTGCTTGCAGCCAAACTTGCTGAATTTCTGTTGCAGTCCTCTTCTCTGCATAATTTCCTTACTGGGAGAGTCTGGGAGACCTCTGCCACAATCTTTATCGCAATCCATGCCTTCATCACCTCAAGCAACTTCTTACCTATGGCGTTCTCCTCTGAGGTATATAGCAGTAATTGCCCGACCTGCACTGGGTGCCTATGTCATTTCTCTGTGGCATAAACATGCGAAACCCAGACAAGGAACACCACGACGGACAACGTGATATCAGGACATCTTTTTCTTTCTGTGCATTTTGTTTGTGCCCCTCTTTCCGGATTGTATAGGAGTATATAGGAGACAGCACGGGGGGAAAAGAACACAAACGCAAAAAAGGGATACCGCCAGGTCAACAAGAGAGAACTTCAAAGCACAAACAAAATGCGCAAAGACAAAAAGCAACAACGAAAAGAGGGGCACAGAGGAAATGCACAAGGATAAAAGATTAAAAAAAATGAGAAGAAGGGCGCTGAACTACACGATTTCGGTGATTTGGACGTGGGAGCTTGGGGAGTTCAAAACTAGCTTGCTGACAGCTTGCCTTGAGCTGAGCTGCCACGCGATCGTACCCGCTTCGGTCAGCTTGCAAAACCCCTTGGGTTACGCTTAAGGGGACATTTGGCTGGAGTTGAGTCTGGGTACACCAGGTTACGGTGGTACGTCGTACTAACCAATGTAACCATGGTGGCATCACTGGCGTGGGCTGAAATTTGCATCTGCGGGCTTCAGGTTCGTCCCAGCTCACTTGGTCTTGTGGTCTGTGTTCTGCTTTAAAAATGCAGCAGGTTGCCGGTTCAATTCCTGGAGGGAATGACTTCGTTTGATTTCAGTGATTTGGACGTTGGAGCTTTGAGAGCTTGAAAACCAACAAGACAGTCCGTCCAGGAGATGATAGGCGGTTTAGTGGATAGGAATCGATCATATCTGCGTCAATCACTAGGTGTGTAGTCGGCTGTAGGATCAGCTGTAGGGTCGGTCGTAGGGTTAGTCATAGGGTCGGTCGTAGGGTCACGCACAGTCCAGACCTGACTGAAAACCAGGAGGCTTTTCGGGCCAGCCAGGGCTGGATTCGGGTACCCCAAGCCTGGGTAGGTCGAGGGTTACACCCAGTCCGACACTGAGAAAGAATGCTCCAGAAGTCAACGTTGGCGGTCCAGACAAGGTTCCCCCGGATGAGTCCAGACAAGGTTCCCGGATGAGTCAGTGGCCAGCCAGCTGGCCACCGGGGCCCAATTCAGCCCTGGCTGGCCCCGGTGGCCAGCCAGGGCTGGATTCAGTAACAGCAATGTATCTCTGCTGCCAGCCGAGTCGTGACACATTCCGCCTTACACTCCTGCCACGATCCAGGAGTAGTACTCTGTGCCACGCTCCTGCCAAGAGAGAGAGAGAGAGAGAGAGAGAGAGAGAGAGAGAGAGAGAGAGAGAGAGAGAGAGAGAGAGAGAGAGAGAGAGAGAGAGAGAGAGAGNAGAGAGAGAGAGAGAGAGAGAGAGAGAGAGAGAGAGAGAGAGAGAGAGAGAGAGAGAGAGAGAGAGAGAGAGAGAGAGAGAGAGAGAGCTTGCGCATGCAGCTATAGCTGGGTGTAGAGGGGAGAGGGATATCATAGCTGGTAGTGGAGGTGAATGCAGGGAGATTACAGAGCAGGACTGGAGACATGCTTGAGCGAGGGAGAAGAGGCCTGAGGATGAACGAAGCTTACCTGGTGGCTGGCTGCCATAGCCGCATTGAAGACACAGACTGAAGCCTCCAAGGGACTGGCATTCTTCACTCAAGACTTCATTCCTTTGGCGCTAGACCACTGCCAGGTCTGGTGCGGAGGAAGATTAGACTAGCATTGGTTGGAGAGGTTGGAGAGAAGAATGATTATCGGAGCGAGGTTGTGTCGTTGCGATCAAGGGAGAAGACTGTGGAGAAGAAATGGAGAGAGACTGGTGGTGGTGGTGGTCCAAAGAATCGGAGAGAGACTAGATGACATCGGGGGTTTTGTCGTTGTGGTTGTGGTTGTGGTTGTTGTTGTCGTTGTTCTTGTTCCGAAGAAACGGAGAGAGACTGGCTGACATGGGGGTTTTGTCGTTATCGTTGTCGTTATTGTCGTCGTTATTGTTGTTGTCATTATCGTCATCGTTGTTGTTGTTGTTGTTGTTGTTGTTGTTGTTGTTGTTGTTGTTGTTGTTGTTTGTTTGTTTGTTGTTGTTGTTGTTGTTGTTGATGTTGATTGTTAAGAATTATTCTGTTGTTTCCAGTTCATTCTGTTTGCTACCATGTCGATTGTCATTTTCTGTGTCAATTGTTGATTGGTTTTAATGAAGGCTTGGATGACATTGACTTGAGGGTGATTAAGCTTCAGTTGAATGGGACCACTGCATTTTGTTAATATCAAAAGGGGAAAAAAAAAGAAGAAAAGAAAAGAAAAGAAAAGAAAAGTTGGTAGGAGAAACACTATTTCTTGGATTAGGACAGCCACATACCAACACATACAGACACAGACAGAACAGACTAGAAAGAAAACAGACAGCAAGGGTGTTATTTATAAAAACATTAATGAATAGATAAAAGAGATAGGATAGAGAGAAAGGGTGAAGAGGAAAAGTGAGGCGGACTAATGATGATGCTAATAACTCTTGATCTGTCTTGCAGATCATCAGTCTTTATCTACCTTGCAGGTCTTCTGCAGTGTCTCAAAGTCTTTTGAAAGTTTTTCAACGTTTTGTGAAAGTGTTTTAATTTTTTAACTGTTTCAATTTTCAAAGCATGTCGAAAGCAGGGCTGGACCGGCAACTGGCCGGTTCAGCTTGCCCAGTCGAACTGGAGCCGGACCAGCCCAGGGGGGGTGAACAGGGAAACCGGTTTTCAAAAAATAAAGCGTAATTCTCTTTTTTTTTTTTTTTTTTTGGCCGGATTCTGACTGCGCTCTTCAAGAGCTGTCGAAATCCGTAATAAAATTTTCAAGGTCCAATTTTTTGGGGGGGGTGCCCCAGGGGGAGGTGGGGATATTATTGGGATATTCACGGAGGTGTCACTTTCAGGGGGAGGGGTTGAGTAAGCAAGGTTACTTATACGACCCCCCGTGGCCCAAGAACTTCCATTCAGTAGCAGAGGGCACTCTGGACTATGCCAATGGCCATCAGAATCCTGCAGCCTGAACGAGACGTGATTGTAGTGGATCCTTGCCAAAACTTGTAGTTTTTCCAGGGTATAGCTCAACGGCAGAAAAGTTATGGGTGCAGGTTTAAGCCCGTGCAAGCAGAGCGCTTTCTGTTTGTTTTTTTTTTTTTTACATACGCTGGGTCGTCAGTGTCCTCAGTCGGAAAGTATCTCGCATGCCAGTCTGTCCAGATACATGTAGTGGAGCCGGGTCCATTCTAGATAGATTGTGAGAAAAATATAGCTTAGGTCCATACTTGGGCTTGCACCTCAGACAGAGCCGAAACCCAAACCCATAACTCGTTCCCCAGAGCTTAGTGATGTTGCAGAAACATATAACCTCAGGAGAGCCGTTGCTCATGCATAGTAATTCCCTCATGGCTGAGGATGGACGAGTATGTCATGCCAATGATGCCTGGTCCGTGGTCTGTCGGACCACACTATGCCAAATCGAAATATGAGGCCTGGTGAGCCCCTATTTTTTGAGAAAACATGCGCGGCGGTTGTTCGCCGCTGATCTGCAAAGATAACCGGCGGAGATCCTCCGCTCGTTGTTTTCTAGCCCCAATTTTTTTTTTTTGAAGGAGGCTGCGGCCTCGTGGGGGCTGGGCAGTTGTGGGGATGCCTGTCACTGCCCGGTACCCCCCATCCAGCCTAATGCGCTGGATTCGACCGGGGGTCTGCTGGGCCGGTCGACCGGCCGGTCCGACCGGCAGGCTCCCGGGCAGGGGAGGGGCCCCCGGTCAAACCGAGGACCAGCCCTGGTTGAAAGTATTTCAAAAGTCTTTCAAAAATGTTTTGAAAGTGTTTTGGAAGTGTTTCAGAAGTGTTTTGAAAGTGTTTTGAAGTGGCCCATAGCACTGATCTGTCTTGCAAATAATCAATGTTGTTCTGTCTTGGACATAATCAATCATGATCAAACACTTGAACGTAGTCAAACTTGATCAAAACACTTGGACAGAATCAGTCCAGGTCAGTGTCAGTTCAATACAGATGATCTGTCCTGCAGGTGCTGGCAAAAGCAACGAACACACTCGCTGCAAGCAAATGTGATTCCAAACTTACCTAAACACAGGCGAAAGAGGAGGACATCCCAAACAAGGCGGGGAGAAACATGTGATTGAAGTGCTTTCTGAGCTGCTTCCAGAGCGTGAAACTTCCTGTTTAAGTCACCACAAGAGACAAAAGATCGATGCCACAATGACAAAGTTTCAGCCCTTCAATTATTATTAAATAATAATAATAGTTCCTGGTGATCACTCACGACCATCTGGCTACTTCTTCCCCTTTCCTGCACCTCCCAGACTCCATCTCCGTACCCTCTCCTCGCCTCCTCCCTCCCTCCCCCTCCTCCCTTCCTGTACTCCTACTCCCTTTCTTTCCCCCTTCCCTCCT